ATTTTTCAGAATATATTGTTGAATTTGCTTTAATCATTTGTTGATTGGTCTTCCAATAACTTTCATAGATGCAGAATATAATGAAAAAAAGCTGGCATATTTAAGGGGATTTATTTTGCAGCATTCCAAGAAAGCAGTATGCACGACGAAATATTGCTGGTTTGGATTTTGAGATTGGAAATGGTGTGAAATTTTCCGTTGGAATGTATGTTTTCTTTCCAAAAAACACAAATATTTCCTTGTAGGATTTCTGTAATTATAGTTTTCGTTTAGCTACGCATTGCTGGGTACCGAAAAACTGCCGCAACCGATTGTTTTGGATGCGGAAGAAAACGAAATTGTACAACGATCTCATACATACATCAACAAAGAGGTCTCATAATTACGGTCTTTTTCAGATGAGGGTGTTGATTTTACCTGATTTGTGCTTTGAATCATTGGCTAATCCAGAAGGTGGGGAGAGGGAGGTGGGGAGGGGAGCGATGGGTCTTTCGTCCTTCCAGCGGCTCAAGTAGCAGTGCTAAAACTGTAGAAAACTCTCTTCGCACCCCTAGTCGACCTTCCCCCCAAGAGCTTCAAGCCCTCCCCCTTTTTTTCCCTTCGTCGCCGTTAGGTAATCCCGCTTTTCGCTCCCCTCCTCCCTCAAGAAGGCCATCCTGGATCGGTTTATATGCTTTGAATTCACATTTGGTATCTGAAATTGCAAGACGGCTTTGTCCAGTGCTTTCTTAGTTTCCAATTTTTGCGGTTTTTTTCAATTTTTTCATTTTTCAGTTTTTCAAAAAGTGTGATTTTTTTCATTTTTCAATTTTTTGCGATTGAAATTATATACTTATGTCAGATGTAATCCTCACTTTTTGTCTCTTTATTCGTGCAACTGACAACTTTCCAGTTGTTTTGACCAGTGTTGCAATGGCTGATGGTAAAAATCGATAATGATTGTCTCGAAACTGAAAATAATTTTTTACCATGTAGAAATCTCCCAGGGCACTTTTGGCCACTTCTTGTTATTTCTGGCCTGAAAAACCGATTTGATTTTTTTTTTCGCTTTTTAGCTCTAAAAGTTTGCGAACGAAATTTTTTTGTGCTTTTTAGCAGTTATTTCAAAAATTCAATTCAAATTCCTTGAATTCAACTTTAATTCAAACTTCAATTCAAATAGATAGATAGAAGGGAATGGGAAGATTCGACTTTAATATTTCGTGTGAAATAAAGTTCAATTCAAAGATTGCAAAATAGTAACCGGAAACTAAAAAAATGTTGAACAAAGTCGTCTTCGAACATCAGATACCAAATGTGAATTCAAAAAGCACAAATCATTATTATCTTCAATTCTTATCCAGTATTATCTGAATTCAAAAAGCACAAACTCAGTTTTATCTCCAAAACTTATCCAGTATTATGTGCAAACTATTTTCAAGACTGGTGACGAGATGCCATTGCTCGATCGAGAAATTATCAGACGACGACAGGTTGGTGGTGAAACGGTGGATATGTCGCCAGATGAAATAGACAAATTGCGAAGAATAACTCTACCAGGTTTTTACTTGTTGTTTGATACATCGAGCCGGCGGTTGTGTGGATTGTAACACACTTCTGCCCAAATAGCGAAAGTGGAAGTCCTTTAGCGATGCAGTGAAATGCATATTTGCTCCGTTGTCAAGGTTCAGGTCTCTCCAAGGAGTATTATATCAATTGTTTGAATACTGAATCGTTCTCGATTTGCTCACTGTGCTTCCTGAAACTCTGCACGTTGAAAATCCTGCCCTACGGCGCATGGCGGCAATTTGAATGTGGCAAGTGGAAGTGGAGGTGGTATGCGGCGGGTTTCGTTCGGGCAAAGGAGGAGTCTGGGACAGTAGGCTTCGCTGCAGTCAGTGCAAAATTCACTGGCATTTTTTTGTAAGCGCCTATCGGTCAGAATTACACTATGTGGTAGTTTCGCTTGCAGGTTTCCTATAATTCTTTTATGCGCATTCTTTTTTCGTCCTCCTTGGGTCTCTTCTCCCATTTTTTGTGGTCGAACTGACCAGTTCTCGCTTCTTTTCACAGTTATGTTATTACACATCGCTTGTTAGTAATTTAGTAGTTCATCATTTGGAACTGCCAAATTTCATGCAGGTTCCCGAGAATGCGCTTAATCGGTCAGTATTTAAGCATAGTTGATTTTTTCATATTTGGAAATGTAATTTTGCTCAAAATACTGCTTTTTATAGGGCTGTTGTTGCTTGGATTCAAACCTCTTTCGTGCCTCAAAATTTCTCATCACATCCGTTGCTCGCAATTTGTCTATCCACTTGAAAAAGTAACATTTCGTATCAAATTTCTTCCCAATTTTAGCGAAATTTTGGCATTGTTACTTTATTAAATATATATGAAATATTTTGAGGAAGTCCTGGGATCCACGCTGATGTATCGTACACTCTACGAGGTATGTATGAAGCAAAAGAAAATGATGATTTGTCGCTATACGCAAAAAGCAAATGTTCCTCCAAAACTTGTTGCACTCGTACCTCAAGCGCCCGCAAGTGAAACCAGTTCAAAGGTTATTTTTTTCACTTAATGGACCGAAACATTCCAATTTAGTTTTTATTTTTTATTTTTATTTTTACTTTTTATTCTGTTACAACCTTTTCCATAACCACAAAATATCTAAATTTAAATTCTCTCACCAAATGGATATTTTTATTATTTTACGTAGTGATTTTTCTATCGTCCCCTGCGGCAGATTCGTTTTCACTTATTTTAGTTTTGCTTCTTCTCCTTTCATGCTACTCAATTTCGCCTTTTCATATTCCTAGTGGTTTTTTTCCGCCCCATTTTGAACAGTTTGCAAGTTTTTTGTAATATGTTTTCTAATAATTGTCACTGAAATGAGATCCCGTGAGATCCGGAGGGTGTCCGTATCGGAGTTTTTGTTGTTTTCCCGTTTTCATCTCCCTAGAAGTCCTGTTTCCGCTTAATTTTGTACAAATTCGTATCAAATTGAACAATTTTGCGTATTTTATAATATAATTTTTTAACAATATTACTGAAATGAGATGATCCCCGTGCCGAATATCTGTCCGAAGGGTATCGGTATCGTGGTTTTTGGTGTATTTCGTTCCATCTTACTATTTTTCATCAAAAATTTTGTTTTACTTTTTGCCTTTCTTTTATCAATTTTCATTTTTGCAGGAGGAAATAAGTTCGAAGTTTCGTTATGCTGGATTTCACTTGGTCTATTTACCATATGCAGAAGACAAACGCGATCTCAGTGAGCAAATGACCCATCCAGACGGTGAATGGCCAAAAGGTTATTTCAAAAGCACAATTTTTCAGTGCCTTTCTCAGGAATTAGCACCAAACATAGAGGGGAGAGGGGG